TATATATATGACAGTTTTGTAAGCAACAATCAACACCGTTGTTTACAAAACTGTCATATATATATATATATATATCACAAATGAATAAAGTTATTTGATTGCTTGGCTATTCACATTGTAATCATAAGAGAGAGCACCTTACACATATCAGCCAATGTCGATCACTTCCTTGTTTCTAAGCACAGTGCTGTAGTCACTCTAAGACAACATCTTCTCCTCGAGGTACATCTTCATTTAGTGTGTTTTGCCTGAGTTGGTGACCTCAATTGAACTAGAAAATACCTATCCGATTACATCTGAGATGAAGAAAACGAGGTCAGATGAGCAGTGGACCGATGCAGATCGTCATGTACCAAATAATCACGCCATCGAGAGTGTTTTGATCGACTTTACATGACTACCGGATAAAGAAAGATAAAAACTTAGGGAGTAATTGATCATTTTAAGTCACGAATTAATAAACACACTGTTTCTTTTTCTCTATGCGTCACCCAGAACATGTTATTTGTCGAAAATGAATGAAAAGTATTAACAATTTAGAAATGACAGCCCTAATTTTTTCATCAGATCATTGCGGTTCATATAAATATTTTTTTGCAATTTGGCTTTCCGTTCTGAGTAACTGACTCGTTCCCTTTCTTCTCACATACTTGAGCCTCGTAGTGGTCAATCAGCTAAACGCACCATCACATTGACCAGGAGATCATGAGTTCGAATTCCGCTGATTCAGACCAAGCCTGGTAGATTGGAACTTGAGAGTTGATTTTATCAAAGAATTACTTAGAATGGAAATAACAATATTATGAAACAGAAAAATATACTTAATAGTAGCTCTTAAATCGGTATTCTGCTCAGAAGTTCGAATCTGTTATCAATCGTATCAACCAATATATACACGTGTCTACACAACTCTGTTCTGCCTAATTAATTTCCGTTTACTCACAGAATCCATGAGGTACTATAGCGCATTTAACGTGTTCATGAGCTCTGTGAATTGCATTTTCTATATTCAGTTTTACAAATACTACTTAGCACTTGATTTTGTGATAGCTTGTAGTTTCCAACTCCATTTAGTATTGTCCTAAGGCTTCAAGCATATATTTTTGTATATCACTATGTATAATTGTGTTGGGAAATGTTGTTTGAATAGATCGTTTGTTTTGCTGTAGCAGTTGTGCTTTTATCTTTGGTCATTAAAAGACTTTTGTTTTGCAAAACGGACAGAGACAATCTGATTGGTTCAGGCTTATATATACACGCACGTGATTCCCCTTTCAAATATGATTTGTGTCCGGTGCACTTAAGAAACAGCACTTTTTAAAGAACCGACTTTCAACCAGTCACCAATCAGTTTCGCATTACACATTAAGCACCACTGATTGTCCCATCAACAATCCAATTCTGTGCATTTTTGAAACATCCTAACTAATATACCTGATCTTTTGTGATTTACCTCTTTTCATACCACATTCCTCCTTTAGGAACTAATCCAATCAGAACGGGCACAAAGCAAATTACATCACGTATAGAAACCGGGATGAAAGCTTCCAGGCCGCCCTGCGTGAAAGTCATCGCTACTGGCTTGTGCACGAAATGCAATCACAATTCAACTCCTAATGAACCCCCGAAGGTTGCAATTGTGACGAGACACAATTCAGTGAGAGAGAAAGCCAGGTCGCGAACACATCGATTATCCGTATCACCGTTTCCGATCAGCGTTCACATTTGCACTCTCCCTGGTAAC